CGTGCATTTAAAGCAGCACTCAGGGCTGAATGGGAGGCTTGGATGACTGACGGGGATAAATCATTCACAGAAACTGGCCGAATGTGAAGAGTGTCATTTCCTGATGTCTGCCAGTGGATCCTAACAGCGTGGAGCAGAGTGAATGAGTCCACCATCACAAGTGGGTTCTGAAAGGCTGGACTGCTACGTGAAGAGGACACCACAGCTTCAGAGCCAGCATTACCCCGGGAGGACTACAGATACTGCTGTGTGACGCAGCTTTTCTCAGCTTGTTTAACTCCGACACTGAAGAGGAGGACTTTGATGGTTTCAGTACGCCGGAGGACGATGAATGAGATGTTTTGTTTGACCAGAAACTGTTAAAAGAAAACTACCAAAATAAAGTCAGTTATATGAACCGTATTCCTCCAAACTTTAATTCCTAAAGGTTTGCTTTTTATGTTTTGATGTTGAATTCACTTTTGACGACAATTTTTGGTGTACTGTTTTTTCTTTATGTTGGGCTTATAGTCCGAAAAATACAGTAGTTAGTTTAGAAACATTTAACTGCCACAGAAAATTAAGTTAATTCAGTTTATTTTGTTTGGTACGAGGCAGCAGATATCTGTCACATATGGGCTTCACTTCAGCCCAGCTGAGTTCTGCTCCACGCCTCTTTTGGTTCCTGCTGCTGGGTTCATTTATGAACACGTATATGTGAGCAGGACCTGGACAGCTTCTCCTGTGATTTTATGTGTAGTGGTCACCTCGAGGTGGTATTAACAGGTCCACCTGTCTCTGACCTTGGTCTCAAAAGACCTCCTTTAAAGAGACAGAACTCTGTTCAAGTTAAAGTCATAACAGGTTTTTTTAAACAGTAAAGAGATATTTTGTTCTTATTAATCAGATAATAAACAGAATAATATTTTTTATTCATAATGTTATCAATGTATGAAAAATAAAACACAAAAAGAATGTTATGACAATGTTTTATTGTGCTTTGATGTAAATCACTGATCTTTAACTGTGAAACCACAGTAATTGATTATAGATTTTTAAGTTTAAATATTTTACTTAACTAAACTTTACATTATGATTAAGCTTTATTATAAAACATTTTATATTTATTTTTGTCTGAATCATCATAATGAATATTTTTATGTGTAATAATTCATTTTTAAGTTTTCAGTAAATCGTTCTTTGTGTTCTTTAAAGTGCTCTCAGCAGAGAGCAGGTCAGAACGAGCTGTACGACTCTGCAGACGTCAACAACGTTGTTTAAAGAGTAACTTACCCCAAAATTAACTTTTTTTAGCTGATAAACTGTCTAGAATGTGTCTAAAATGTTATAT